CTCGCGCAGAAATTGATCAAGTTGCGAAGCACGATAAAATGCCGTGCCTTGATGATAAGGTGTCACTGCCCTACCTTGATGCCATTCTCCGCGAGGTCCTGAGATGGCATCCTGTCGTCCCCCTAGGTTAGTCTGCACTAATATAACTGTGTTAAAATAGTCGACTCCTTGCACAGGAATTCCACATGCGACACTAAGTGATGATGTTTACGACGGGTACTTTATACCCAAAGGTTCGAAGTTGTATATGTCGAGTTGTCGTCGACTTATCTGTAGTTTAATCAGGTGCGGTGGTGATAGTTAATCAGTGGTATGTCACGTTGGAGTGCATGTAAAAAAAAAACGGCGGCTTGAGCTGAGCGTGACTCAGGGCACTCTCTCGGGATGAAGACATATTTCCCGATGCATCGCGCTTCGATCCAAGTCGCCATCTGACAGTCGACGGGAAGCTGAAGGACCCTTTTGTCAACCATTTTGCCTTCGGCCATGGCAGGTGAATATTCTACACTTGCTATCATGTTCAATCATTCACCGATCTTCGCAGGCGTGTTTGTCCTGGTGGGCTGATTTACAATTGATCTAGCAGCGCTGAAGATACAAATGTTCTTGGCAGGTCGTTGGTTTGCAGAGAACGCTCTGCGGACTGCAGCTGCTACCATACTCGCTGTCTCACGCATCGATCATGCTAAAGACTCGAACGGAGACAGAATTGAGGTGAAGCCAGAGTTCACCACCGGTTTGGCGGTGTAAGTGGCCTAGTATGTATTCAAGAATGTATGGCTGACTCTGCGGAAGTCGTCCTGAACCATTTCATTGCTCGTTTGAAAGCGTAAACACAGCGAGAGAAAGACACCTCCGAGCAATGATGGATTAGAAGTAGTCTTCGTTTGTGCTGCTGTGTGATCAATATATATATGACATCAATCTCGTGGCCGAAAGCTCAAATGCATTCTTCAGCATATTCTTTGCTGCAGCATTGTTTATTGTGATTTTATGAACATTATCGCATATCCAGTTTGGGCTGCGGTAATCATTCTTGCGATACGGTTCACTTGGGTGCTTAGCACTCTGAATAATTGGCAATATCTCAGGCCATACATCTGGACTGGTCTCTCTGTGGATTGTCGGGGATCCCATCTTACATCTGGTCTTACGACTTTCTGTAGCTTCTACAGCTGCATAACCCAATCTCAGACGAGTGCATGGGTCGACCGATATTCAGGTAGGCCAATGTTGCAACGGGGAGAGACCTGTGAACCGATCAACGGTGTTCAGCCTAGTTGCGCCGCATTACAAGATTGTGGAAACGTTTTTGAAGACTCAACGAATTCGAAAGTAATGATCTCATTCATCAGAGACAGAAGTCGCAAGACCGTGCCTTCCAGTCACTCTGTGCCGTGGTACTATTACATGACAGACCACCTAAGTACAGACGAAGTCTAATTCGAATTCATCGTCGCTCGGAGGTGTCTTTCTCTCGCTGCGTTCACAATCTCAAATGAACACTGAAATGGTTCGGGGTGACTTCGGTAGAGTTAGCTGCAGGTTCTCGAATACATACTAGGCCACTTACATTGCCGTGCCGGTGGTGAACTCCGGCTTCACCTCAAACTTGTTTCCGTTCGAGTCTTTGGCATGATCGATGCGCAAGACGGCGAGTATGGCAGCAGCTGCGGTCCACAGACTACTTTCTGCAAACCAACGACCTGCCAAGGAAATTTATCATCCTCAGCACTACCAGATCAACCACGAACAATCCTACCAGGACAAATACGCCTTAGAATAAGGGTCAGTGAATGATTGAAAATGATAGCAAGTGCGGAATATTCACCTGCCATGACCAAAGGCAAAATGGTTGACAAAAGGGTCCTTCAGCGTTCCGTCGACTGTCAGATGGCGACTTGGGTCGAAGCGCGATGCATCGGGAAATATGTCTTCATCCCGCGAGAGTGCCCTGAGCCACGCTCAGCTCAAGCTTACATGCACTTCACCATGACATACCACTGATTAACCATTACCATCGCACCTGAACGAACTACAGATCAGTCAACGACGACCTCGACACATACGACTTCAAACCTTTGGGTATAAAGTACCCGTCGTAAACATCATCATTTGATGTCGCATGTGGAATTCCTGTGCAAGTGGTCGAACATTCAAACAGAGTTATATTACTGCGGACTGACCTAGGGGGACGATAGGATACCATCTCAGGACCTCGCGGAGGATGGCATCAAGGTAGGGCATTGACGCCCTGTCATCAAGGCACGGCATTTTATCATGTTTTACAGCTTGGTCGATTTCTGCACGAGCCCGGACTTGGATGTCGGGATAGAGCACCATGGCCAGCAGGAATATCTGCAATGCGGCTGCACTCTGCGGGACGTCAAAGTAAGAAGCAGGATTGCTTAAGTAGCGACTCACAGTGTCCATGCCAACTAAGATGCCGGATTCCCGTCAATCGATAAATTTGGTCCTCGTAAAGAAAACTCTTACCCATATACCCCGTCAACGCAACAGCCTTCATGGTGTCTTCATCAGCGTCGTCGTGAGCTTGACTGAGAAAGTCAGCGACCAATGAGTGTGAAGCAATACCATTTGCCTTCACGCAATCAGATCAGGCATCCACAGCTCTGCGCAGACGCACCATCTGTGCCTTCACTTCATTGAAGGGCTCGTTCAAAAGCTGTTGAGCTAATTCTCTACAGCGTCCGATCAGGGAAAATGCTCCACCGAAGCACCAAAGCGGTAACTTTTCGACTGCAACCTTGTGTTGAATGTTCAACATTATGTCGTCGATAAAGGCACTCACGGAAAGGAAAGGCTGTGAACAAGGCACCCTTCTCGGGAGAAACAATACGCTGGCCAATATCAAAGAGTTCGCGCGCGCGGGAAAGAAATGGGTCTTCATGTCCGTGAGCATTATATCCATATGTCACAGCCATGATTAGGGATGCCGCGTATCTGTCACAAAGATTGATAAGTCAACTGGACCATATATCACTACGATATCGCTGGATCAGGTACGAACGTTTCAGTCTGATGCTGCGGGTCACTAACGGCATCCAAGAGATTAATCACTAGCTCATTTGCGTGGCGAGAGTACATCTCATAGTGTGAGACCGAGACTTCGGCCCTGAGGACTTGATGAAAGATCTTGCGATGTCGCCGTAAAGTCTCGCCATATGGCAGGAGCACAGTATTGAAATCGACTCCGGCTCTGTATGGTCAGTGAATGAATAACAAACTGAATGAAATCCGCCAATGCATACAATTCGTTGGTGCGAATAACGGGGCGAGTAGAGTAATTCGCAGAACGCCTGTCGAGCAGCTCCCGCGCGACCGTCTCAGAGTTTATGATAATCAAGTCGATCCCAAATATGGAGGAGTGAATGATTTTCCTATGATCAGAGATGAGGTTTAAGAGCTTGGTAGAGAGGCCAGTGGTCTGCTACTAACCATATGTCTTTCCCCAAGCAGTATATGTGAGCCAAGGTCGTTTGGTATCCAGTTGCAGCGCATTACCGAACAATGGTAACGGAGGGGGGCCAGGCGGCAAAGGCAAAGGGTACACACGTCTACCACGAGTCAGACGCGAAAGGACAACCAGGGCAACAATGCACGATATCCCTGAAGCTAGAATATGAGTGGAGAGCATGGCGAGGGATTATGGTCGAGCCCAAGACATGTTTGATAGTTCGGCTCATACTTGAAGGCGTCTTTGACCCGAATAGCATGCTGACAGGTTTCGGAGTTGATGGTAACTGTGACTAGGCTCGGCGGGACCAGCCTGGCTTATATAACCACGGACGAGTCGAGTGGTCAGACACTTTCATTCGCGCACTGCATAGAGTACCGCATCTTTCTCACTTTTGCATTGCATCACTAAAATTGAAATAGGATACTTCAAATGATATCATTTGCTCCATATTATACTCCCTGACGTACGTCAGACTGGTCACGAGTCTAAACTGTGACATTAATGTTCAAGTGGTCCGAGTCGCTATGTCAAGTACTCACCGGACTTTGACGATTTCAGCCCGATTCTGTAAACTTCTGCTCTTAGTAAGTGTATCGTAACGCCGCGTACGCGCCAATTCCCGACGACGCCCGACACCATCTTGTGTAGTTTCTCCTGCCAAATCTTAGCATGCATTGTTTTAAATTTGAGGCTGTTCAACATGTTTGCTAGGGCGAGCCTGCCTGATCAAGTTGCTAGCCATCGTCAACTTTCACAACCAGGCGCCCCAAACAGCTCGGTGTATGAACATTCCAAGTTGGAACACGCGCTCAAAAACCTTTTTTCTAGAATCACGAACTTTCCGGAACCCATAACAAGGTTCTTCACGAGATATTGGTTCCATCCAATTGGGGCGGTATAGGAATTTTACCGGCAAGCTCAACATTGGATAAAATGGATACACGATATTCGTGAGTGATGATATCATCGATGCGATTAATATCTATGCTAGCTAGTCTAGGGTACTACTTGTTGTCGATATCCACTTTCTTGCCGTCCCATTCGTCCAGACTCAGAGACGTCTATAAAATATCTGTCCACACTGTGTGCCATGGGCTCGTTGGTGGTCACACTAGTCTTTGCTAGATAGATTAATGATGAGTACTCTGTTGGACGTGTGGTAAGTTCTCCTAATTGAATTCTATTCTTTACATCCACCAGGCATCGTTGTTTGGAATCCAACGTTCTATCGAGGCGCATCTTACATCTAATCGTACGACTTTCTATAGCGTCCACAGCTGTATAACGCAATCTCAATCTATAAGTCGTAGTACGAGCGTTGCAACAGGGAAGGGCCCGTGAACCTATCAACAGTTTTGCAGCCTGGTTGCACCAGGTCACGAGATTTTGGAAACGGATCTGGTTTCTGAAGACTCAATGAATTCTCGTTCATCAGAGAGAGGTCGCAAAACCGTGCCATCCAGTGCACTCTGCGCCGTGGTACTATTACATGACACACCATCTTAAGTACAAACAAAGCCTAATTCGAATTCACCATCGCTCGGAGGTGTCTTTCTCTCGCTGCGTTCACAATCTCAAACGAACACTGAAATGGTTCGGGGTGACTTCGGTAGAGTTAGCTGCAGGTTCTCGAGTACGTACTAGGTCACTTACATCGCCAAGCCGGTGGTGAACTCCGGCTTCACCTCAAACTTGTTTCCGTTCGAGTCTTTGGCATGATCGATGCGCAAGACAGCGAGTATGGCAGCAGCTGCGGTCCACAGGCTATTCTCTGCGAACCAACGGCCTGCCAAGGAAATTTGTCATCCTAAGCACTGCCAGATCAACCACGAATGATCCTACCAGGACAAATACGCCTTGCAATAAAAGTCAGCGAATGATTGAAAATGATAGCAAGTGCGGAATACTCACCTGCCATGACCAAAGGCAAAATGGTTCACGAAAGGATCCTTCAGCTTCCCGTCGACTGTCAGATGGCGACTTGGGTCGAAGCGCGATGCATCGGGAAATATGTCTTCATCCCGCGAGAGTGCCCTGAGTCACGCTCAGCTCAAGCCGCCGTTACATGCACTTCACCATGACATACCACTGATTAACCATTACCATCGCACCTGAACGAACTACAGATCAGTCAACGACGACCTCGACACACACGACTTCGAACCTTTTGGTATGAAGTACCCGTCGTAAACATCATCATTTGAGGCCACATGTGGAATTCCTGTGCAAGGGGTCAACTATTGAAACAGAGTTATATTACTGCAGACAGACCTAGGGGGACGACAGGATACCATCTCAGGACCTCGCGAAGAATGGCATCAAGGTAGGGCATTGACGCCCTGTCATAAAGGCATGGCACTCTATCGTGTTTCACAGCTTGATCAAGTTCTGCACGAGCTCGTGCTTGGACATCAGGATAGAGCACCATGGCCAGCAGAAATGTCTGTAATGCAGATGCAGTCTGTGGAATGTCAAAATAAGAATCAGGACTAGGTAAGTAGCGACTCACTGTGTCCATGCCAACTAAGATCCCGTACTCTCGTCAATGGATGAATTTTGTCCTGGTAAAAAAAACCCTTACCTAAATATCCTGTCAACGCAACAGCCTTCATGGTGTCCTAGTCAGTGTCGTCGTGAGCTTGACTGAGAAAGTCAGCGACCAATGAGTGTGAAGCAGTCCCATTTGCCTTCACCCAAACAGATCAGACGAAATTTCCATCCACAGCTCTGCGCAAATGTACCATCTGTGCCTTCACTTCATTGAAGGGCTCGTTCAAAAGCTGTTGAGCTAATTCTCTACTGCGTCCCATCAGAGAAAATGCTCCACCGAAGCACCACAACAGCAGCTTTTTGACTGTAACCTCATGCTAAATGCTCAACATTATGTCACCGGCAAAGGCACTCACGGAAAGGAAAGGCTATGAGCATGGCAGCCTTCTTGGGAGAAGCAATATGTTCACCAATATCATAGAGTTCGCGCGCGCGAGAAAGAAATGGGTCTTCATGTCCGTGAGCAAGGTATCCGTAAGTCACAGCCATGATTAGGGAAGCCGCATATCTGTCACAAAGATTGATAGTCAACTGGACCATACATCACAACGACACCGCTGGATTAGGTATGAACATTTCAGTCTGATGCTGCCAGTCGCTAGTGACATCCAAGAGATTGACGACTAGTTCGTTTGCGTGACGAGAGTAGATCTCATGGTGTGAGGCTGACGCTTCGGCTCTGAGGACTTGATGAAAGATCTTGTGGTGTCGCCGTAAAGTCTCTCCATATGGCAGGAACACAGTATTGAAATCCACCCCAGCTCTGCATCATCAGTGAATGAATCACCAACTGGTGAGAACCGACAATGCATACAATTCGCTGGTGGGAATAACGGGGCGAGAAGAGTAATTCCTAGAACGCCTGTCGAGCAGCTCCCACGCAGTGGCTTCAGAGTTTATGATAATCAAGTTGATCCCAAATGTGCGGCAATAAACGATTTTCCCTTATGATCAGAGATGAATTTAAGAGCTTGGTAAAGAGGCCATCGGTCTGCCACCAACCATATGTCTTTCCCCATGCAGTATATGTGAGCCAAGGTCGTTTAGTATCCAGTTGTAGCGCGTTACCGAGAAATGGTAATGCAGGGGGGGCAGGGGGTAAAGGTAAAGGGTAGACACGTCTGCGAGTCAGACCTAGAATGACAACCAGGGCAATAATGCACAATAGTCCTAAATCGATTCTATCACTGAAGAGCATGGGGAGGGATTATAGTCGAGCCCTAGGACTTGTAGTTCGCCTCATAAATGGTGTCTTTGACCCGAATAGCATATTTGGAAGGAAGTTCTGAGTTGAAGACAGGTGTGATGGAGTCGCCATGCCGGTACTAGCCTATCGACAAGATTCCTGGGTCCGGAGCGAGCACTGCACGAATTGTCCTACTAGGCTACAATCGGTTATGTACAGCGGCCACCAGTCACCGGTCACTGATCATCGACTATGAGTCACTGCCAGTTCGGCTCCTACAGCAAGGTACGAGCAAAAAGGTGAGGACCTCGTTCACCGCCCAGCAAGCATGGACCTTACATAAGAAGCTTTCGCTCTTTTCTTGTAAATGAGATACAATGCATTATGGCAAGTATGTACTCCCTCTGAAATCGGTAGTACATATATCAGTTCTACAGGGAGGAGCAGATGGGCTTGGGCTGGCCAGAAAATTTTTGAACTACCAAACCAGGATATCTTTTGGGCGGTAGTGGCCGCTTCGGGCAATTTCAAGTTTCGGGCGATAAAATTATATGACATGTTCATAGTTTTATTCCCGCTATTGAAATCATTGTTTAGCTCTATAGTAGAGCTAAGCTTGGAGGATATGTGAGTTGAGTATTTTCCAGAGGTAATACTTACTAATTTCAGAGCTGATGAAGTTTCCAAGGTCTTTTTAATATTACACTAGTCTGCACTTTAGCTCCGGGAGTGGTCACCACACTAGTACTCCTCAAGTTGCTACTATTCGTTTGCTTATTCTCATTAGCATAGCATCTAGCTGCTTTCGTCCCTTGTTCTCCCCCCCACCGCTTTTGTTGGTGCGACAGCTATCTTTACATGTCTATCATTTATGTAATATCATTTTCACAATGTGTCACACTGAAACTTCATTGTTCGTTTGCCCGTCCACCCCGAGCTAACGCTAGGACACAGCCAACCTCACGACGCCTTCGCACTCCACCTTCTCGGCTTCACAGCAACAGAGACATTCCTGCTAGCCATGCTGCTCTATCCTGACGTCCAAAGCAGGGCCCGTGCAGAAATTGACCAAAGTTGTGAAGCATGATAAAATGCCGTGCTTTGATGATAAGGCGTCACTGCTCTACCTTGATGCCATTCTCCACGAGGTCCTGAGATGGTATCCTCACGTCCCCCTAGGTAAGTCCGCAGTAATATAACTGTGTTTCAATCGTCGACCCCTTGCACAGGAATTCCACATGTGGCCTCAAATAATGATGTTTACAACGGGTACTTTATACCCAAACAACTTATTTGTAGTTCGATCAGGTGCGATAGTGATGGTTTATCAGTGGTATGTCACGTTGGAGTGTAACGGCTGCTTGAGCTGAACATGATCCAGGGCATTGTCCCGGGATGAAGACATGTTTCCCGACGCATCACGCTTCAATCCTAGTCGCCATCTAACAGTTGATGGGAAGTTGAAGGACCCTTTTGTCAATCATATGGCCTTCGGTCATGGCAGGTGGATATTTTACACTTGCTATCATTTTCAATCATTCACTGACCAGGCTTGCTGCAAGGCGGATATGTCCTGGTAGGCTGATTCATGGTGGATCCAGCAGTGTTGAGGACGACAAATGTTCTTGGCAGGTCGTTGGTTTGCAGAGAATGTTCTGTGGACTGCAGCTGCTACCATACTCACCGTCTTACGCATTGATCATGCTAAAGACTCGAACGGAGACAGGATTGAGGTGAAGCCGGAGTTCACCACCGGCTTGGCGATGTAAGTGACCTAGTATGTATTCAAGAACATGTGGCTGACTCTGCGGAAGTTGCCCTGAACCATTTCATTGCTTGTTTGAAAGCGTGAACACAGCGAGAGAAAGACACCTCCGAGCAATGATGGATTCGAAGTAGTCTTCGTTTGTACTTGAGGTGGTGTGTCATGTAATAGTACCACGGCGTAGAGTGCACTGGATGGCACGGTCTTGCGACTTCTGTCTCTGGTGAACGAGATAATTGCTTTCGAATTTGTTGAGTTTTCAAAAACGTTTCCAAAATCTTGTAACACGGCGCAACTAGGCTGAACACCATTGACCGGTTCGCAGGTCCCTCCCCGTTGCAACATTGGCCTACCTGAATATCGGTCGACCCATGCACTCGTTTGAGATTGGGTTACGCAGCTGTAGATGCTATAAAAAGTCGCAAATGTAAGATGGGATCCCCGACAATCCACAGAGAGACCAGTCCAGACGTATGGCCTGAGATATTGCCAATTATTCAGAGTGTTAATGTGAGCACCCAGTGAACCGTATCGCAAGAATGATTACAGCCCAAACTGGATATGCTATAATGTTCATAAAATCACAATAAACAATGCTGCAGCAAAGAATATGCTGAAGAATGAGTCAACTACACTAGAAGCGCAACCCCAAATCGGAAATACAAACACGCTCATCGCATAGAACTTTGGATCCTAAACAACGGGTCATAAGTGGAAGCACGTTTGTAACTTTTTCACTCTTCCACAGGCACTCATTTGAGCTTTCGGCCACAAGATTGATGTCATATGTATAGTGATCACACAGCAGCACAAACAAAGATTACTTCGAATCCATCATTGCTCTGAGGTGTCTTTCTCTCGCTGTGTTCACGATTCCAAACGAACACTGAAATGGTTTAGGGTGACTTCGGTAGAGTTAGCTGCAGGTTCTTGAGTACATACTAGGTCACTTACACCGTCATGCCGGCGGTGAACTCCGGCTTCACCTCAATCTTGTTTCCGTTTGAGTCTTTGGCATGATCGATGCGCAAGACGGCGAGTATGGCAGCAGTTGCGGTCCACAGACTATTCTCCGCGAACCAACGACCTGCCAAGGAAATTTATCATCCTCAGCACTGCCAGATCAACCACGAACAATCCTATCAGGACAAATACGCCTTGCAATAAGGGTCGATGAATGATTGAAAATGATAGCAAGTGCGGAATATTCACCTGCCATGGCCAAAGGCAAAATGGTTGACGAAAGGATCCTTCAGCTTCCCGTCAACTGTCAGATGACAACTAGGATCAAAGCGCGATGCATCGGGAAATATGTCTTCATCCCGAGAGTGTGCCCTGAGCCACGCTCAGCTCAAGCCGCCGTTACATGCACTCCACCATAACATACCACTGATTAACCATTACCATCGCACCTGAACGAACTACAGATCAGTCAACGACGACCTCGACACATACAACTTCAAACCTTTGGGTATGAAGTACCCGTCGTAAACATCATCATTTGATGTTGCATGTGGAACTCCTGTGCAAGTGGTCGAATATTCAAACAGAATTATATTACTGTGGACTGACTGACCTAGGGGAACGACAGGATACCATCTCAGGACCTCTCGGAGGATGGCATCAAGGTAGGGCATTGACGCCCTGTCATCAAGGCACGGCATTTTATCATGTTTCACAACTCGGTCAATTTCTGCACGAGCGTGGGCTTGAATGTCAGGGTAGAGCACCATGGTCAGCAGGAACATCTGCAATGCGGCTGCATTCTGTGGGATATCAAAGTCAGAATGAAGACTGCTTAAGTAGCGACTCACTGTGTCCATGCCAACTAAGATGCCGGATTCCCGTCAATGGATAAATTTGGTCCTCGTAAAAAAACTCTTACCTACGTATCCCGTCAACGCAACAGCCTTCATGGTGTCTTCATCAGCGTCGTCGTGAGCTTGACTGAGAAAGTCAGCGACCAATGAGTGTGAAGCAGTCCCATTTGCCTTCACGCAATCAGATCAGGTAAAATTTCCATCCACAGCTCTGCGCAAACGCACCATCTGTGCCTTCACTTCATTGAAGGGCTCGTTCAAAAGCTGTTGAACTAATTCTCTACAGCGTCCCATCAGGGAAAATGCTCCACCGAAGCACCAGAACGGCAACTTTTCGACTGCAACCTTATGTTGAATGTTCAAAATTATGCCGTCGATAAAGGCACTCACGGAAAGGAAAGGCTGTGAACATGGCAGACCTCTCGGGAGAGACATATACTTGCCCATATCAAAAAGTTCGCGCGCGCGGGAAAGAAATGGGTCCTCATGTCCGTGAGCATTGTATCCATATGTCACAGCCATGATTAGGGATGCCGCGTATCTGTCACAAAGATTGATAGTCAACTGGACCATACATCACTACGATATCGCTGGATCAGGTACGAACGTTTCAGTCTGATGCTGCGGGTCACTAATTGCATCCAAGAGATTGACGACCAGTTCGTTTGCGTGGCGAGAGTACATCTCGTAGTATGAGACCGAGACTTCGGCCCTGAGGACTTGATGGAATAGTTTGCGATGTCGCCGTAAAGTCTCGCCATATGGCAGGAACACAGTATTGAAACCCAATCCAGCTCTGTATGGTCAGTGAATGAATAACAAACTGAATGAAACGTGACAATGCATACAATTCGTTGGTGCGAATAACGGGGCGAGTAGAGTAATTCGCAGAACGCCTGTCGAGCAGCTCCCGCGCGACCGTCTCAGAGTTTATGATAATCAAGTCGATCCCAAATATGGAGGAGTGAATGATTTTTCCTATGATCAAAGATAAATTGAATCTGAGAGCTTGGCAAAGAGGCCATTGGTCTGCCACCAACCATATGTCTTTCCCCACGCGGTGTATGTGAGCCAAGGTCGTTTAGTATCCAATTGCAGCGCGTTACCGAAAAATGGCAAGGGAGGAGGGCCAGGCGGCAAAGGTAAAGGGTAGATACGTCTGCGAGTCAGACGCGAAACGACAACCAGGGCAACAATGCACGATATCCCTGAAGCTAGAATATGAGTGGGGAGCATGGCGAGGGATTGATTATGGTCAAGTCCAAGATATGTTTGACAGTTCGCCTCATAAAAGGCGTCTTTGACCCAGATAGCATGCTTGAGTTGAAGACCGGTGTGATGGTACCTGTGACAAATGTCAAGTACTAGTACTACTTACATATGTAGTACCATCCATGCACAATCTGCAGAACACAATATTTCCAAAA